AGAGAGAGAGAATAAGTAGAGTAAGAAACGTGGAAGTAGCAAGAAGTATCGTGAGTTTTCGATGGTGTTCGGACAATAGGTTCGAATTACTCGATAAAAAGAAGTACAAAGAAGTGGAGTACAAAAAGTAATACTTGAAGAAGATATTTGATTTATTAAATTGAATAATTTTTGTGTTTCTTTCTTTCGCCAAGCTCGACAAATAAGATAGGTTGTCATAGAAATTAACTTGAACTTTTGTTCTTGGCTTGGAAGTTCCGAAATTCTGGATTTACATGCTGTTTGAAGAAGAATATACAACATACCGAGTGGAAGTTCCAGAGAAAAATCGAGAGGAGATTTCCAGGGAAAAATCGAGGAATACGAAACGTAAAGGAGAAGTAGAAAAGGGTATCGTAAGATCTTTTCAACGTAGACTCTTCCAATAGTAGACTCGATATAGAGCATTACTCGATATAGAGAATAATAAGAAAGGAAACAAGATACAGAAAATGGTATATTAAAAATTGACGTGAAAGTTATATAATCGTGTCTTAATACTTATGCCAAAGAGTACAGAAATGGCTCTATCTTTATTCATTTAGCGAACGTGAAGAGAAAATAAAAATCGCGCCGCATAACAGCTTCACAGTTGATCGACTAACAAGCAAATAGCCCTCCTTCTGTATATTCGCCTTTCTCCGTTTCTTTTAATTAATCGGAAGTTACGCTACAAGAGACCAATATGGCGACCGGTGGCCACGTGCAAGAAGAATCACTTTGGCGCACGTCGTTCGGCCACACTGGGCGGTCGGCATCGGCCAGTTTTCTTTTTGTTTCCGTCAGGTGCGCCGTCCAATCGGAGTCCTGGGCTCGAACTGGCCCCTGGAATCACGTTCCTCACAGCCAAGAGACAAAAACTACCGTTCCAGGGCCGCTCGTTTGGAACAGAATGGTGGACAACCGACGTCGACATTGGAAAAAAAAAAAACGCGTGCTGCCGCGTCATGTCGGTTTTAATCACGTTCCGCTAATTAAGAGCGAGAATTGGACGCGACTCCTGCGGTTCGTCGTTCGAAATCGAACGAAAGCCTCGGTATTCTTGTTAGTATCCGGGAAAGATCAATTCTTTTTTCTTTTTTCTTTTTGTTGCAATGATTCCTTTGAATATTTTTATATAAACCTTTGTATTGCCGTTGCAAAAAAAAAAAGAGATTTAAGTAATGAAATATGACAATTATAGGACACAGTGAAGAATAACGGTATTAATATAAGTTACTTTCTGGAATTTTAGTCCCTGTAATCTATCTTCACGATTACATTCAATCACTTAAGAAAAATGTTAATCTAACAAAAATCAATGAGTCATTAGAAAGATGAAAGATACATTATGTATTTCTCAGGGATTTTATTTTTTAACCTTATTTTTGAACCAATACTAATTAAGAGTGTAGCCAAAGATATTTTGCTTTCATGTATTTGTACATTATGCGTTGCATTATCGTCATGTTTCGTTTAAAATTCTTTACTATCATTTTTACAATCGTACATCGATTACCTGCAACGTCCAAACCATGTAAATTTGAACACGTTCCAAGAACAATAACCTGAAATCACCCCTAAACGAAAGTCGCCAAAAGTCACTCATAGGGAAGCAAAACTTGACCCGATATTAAAGATTTACGAGCGGTTTCAGGGAAAAGATCCATCATAAGACAGAGACAATCTGGCAGCGGACCCATGGGTCGACCTTTGCCCGGTCTGGCTGCAACTTTTTCCCGCATCTGGCCGAGGCGCATCGCCATTTTTCTCCCTTTTCGCCCCGCGGATTGTTCAATGGAGCGACAATGCGCGCGGCCGGTCCGCCGGTGGTCAATTTGTTTGAATGGACAACGACACAGGCCGGCCGCGCACAATGGCCGCGTCGGCTGTCAGGGGCATAAATCAATTTCGAGAAAATGCTCGAAGGTGGCACGTTGCATTGAGAGAGAACGCCGGCGCGCCGCGGTTTTCGCAGTTCACGCGCGCTCACGTTCCTCCCCTGCCCCTACGTACGTTTCGACGATAGTTTGGCATTCGAGCCCGGGAAAAATACGGTTCACACTTCGACGCGTTTCGTAACAAAGTGTCAAAGAATTTTGGATGAAATGAAATATAATAAGAACATTTTGTATAAGATTACAGTTACAATGGATGCATCTGGATACAATTCGTACTTCATCTAATGTTTCGCTACTATATTAATTTTTCAATATATTTTGGCTACATAAGAACAGATATGTTCAATTCTTATAGATATACGATGTACTAAAATTCTTCAAACAAGAAAATCACTTTTGATATTAAAAGTGTACATGAAGAATGTGTGCCCAAACTTTGGTCAGATATACAGAGAGGGACTTAAAAAAATAAAATAAAATAATGTTTAATAAAAGCGGAAGAAAGAAGAAAGAACACGTCAACTTATGTAAGAATTATAAATTATAATCTTATATAATAAATTTTTATATAATCTTCATAATAGATTCATTATAAAAGAATACCATCATATACTTTAACGTCACCTAATATTAATAAAAGTGAAAGAAATTATGCGTCAATTCACAGCTCGTGAAAGACGCTTGGTCGACAATATTCGATGAAACAAAAACGAGCAAAAAAAGAACGGGAGTGTCAGCGACAACGAGCGAATCGAAACGATTGCACCATCGGCGATCCGTATCCTGGTCATGGTGTTCGAAATCGTTTTTAATTAGCGGCTGAATCTCGACGTGAAATCCCGCGGGCGAAACGTTGTTTCGCTCGGAAAAATATTTTCAGAGCAATCTGCTCCGTTTTATACCAGTTGAATTATCTGCGTTTTTTGAATCGTCGCGTCGACAAACGGCCGTGAAACGTTCTCGGCGTCCGTTCGTGCGTACGTGGACGCGCGCGAACTCGCTGCTCGTTCACGCGCTAGCGCGAGCGTTCGTTTAATCCGATGCGATTCGAACGCAACGCCGAGTCATTGTCTGCTGGGCGTATAATGAAATTCAATTAATATAACGAGCCAATTAAGCACGTCGGCACACTGACACGGTGGTCTGGCCCGTTCGAAGCGGAAGAAAGAAAAATAAAATACGCGGCATTCGACTTTCGAGCAAGCAGCTCCATCATGCGCGCCCTTTAATTCATGCAATTTGTGAAACGCAGCCAACTCGTTATGTCATAAATTGACGCGATTGTGGTATTACAATTAATGCGCGAACGATGTCGCGAGTTTCGATCCGCTTTTTTTAGTTTTTCCTTTTCTTTCTCTTTCTTTTTTTTTTTTTTTTTTTTT